AGGTTTGAAAGACTAAGTGCAAATCGAATACTTTATCCATTCATCCATGCAAGGTTTTCTATTCTGAGATGTTTTTTTCAACAATACCAGGAATTACATTTCCCTTTTGAATCTGAAAGTTATTGTTCTGCCTTAATTGATTTTGACAGAAATCATTGCAATTTATAAAGATTCAAATTTGCACTCTCCAGTAGATAAAATAAATAAATAAACTTTCCCAGACTTCAACCAGAATTCAAATTACATTTACTGATCAAGAATATCAACTTTTTACTCAACTTCAAAACAGATTGTTTAATTTTCAAATAAATATTCGAGAAAATCTCGATTACAAATAATTATAGAAAAAAATCGTATAACTAGTATGTTTAAAGTCGTGCTAAATTGTTAGATATTTTATTTTAAATATTAAATAAGATTATTTCTCTGCTACTTCTCCTACTTGAGAGTAGATTCTTGTATCAATTTGAAGCTGTACTTGATTCCACTCGAAACCGAATTTTTATTATTAACGTTGTAACTTTTAATAAATAATAAATAATAAATAATTGATCAATAATAATTGAAAGAGCCGTATTAAAATAGTAATTGTTTGATAATCACTTTGATTGATATCTTTTAATTGAACCAAATCATCAACCAATACGCTTTCATTTTCAACTCTAATGGCAGCTTCATATGGGGCAAGATCATCCGATTTTTGTTGGGTATGAGATAATCCACCAGGAATAGCCACACCACCATATCTACTACTAAAATTACCTATCCCTGTAATGGATGTTGGCAATGTTGCAGCTGGAGTAGTGTGTCGTAAATGTTTTTCAAAATGTTCTTTGAGATGATCAAATTCTTTAACATCAGGTCTTTCGTCTTCTGCTTTTTGAAGTTGTGCTAAATTCATCATCGTCACCAACATCATCATTATTAATTAATAATAATAAAAATATCAATTATGGGGTGAGTAAACAAAATATTTCTTATTTTCCATTTCGATCCGCTCTCACATCTTTTTCATAATAAAAAAAAGTTAATGA